AGATTTTCGCTATAGGGCGCATGCGCTCGCCAGACAGACAGAGAGAGACATAGAGACAGAAAGCGAGAAATCACCCCCCGGGGAGATGGTCACACCACAATCCCTTCTCCTCCATTCTCCTCTCAGGATCCTGGGCAGGCACGCACATGTGCCTGGCGTAAGTTTTAAGCCACCGGGTCCGGGACTCGAAACACATTTGACTACATGGGAGTCCAGAGACATAACCATTATGCTAACTGCTGGTCCCATGGTCCACCCATATCTTCATGGCATTCATTCTCTGGAAACACATCATGGTCATGATCAGATCATGGAATATGGGTATGGTGGTTGTTTCTATTGGTCTTAAGGACTTTAAGAGTTGAAAGAGGATCGAACCAGCAGTTAGCACAATGGCTATGTCATTGGACTCCCATGTACTCGACTGCAGTTCGAGTCCCAGAGCGGGTGGCTTAAAATTCATGCTAGACGTGTGTGCATGCGTGCCCACAATCCCAAAAAAAGAATGGAGGAGAAGGGATTGCGGCGTGGCCATCCCCTGAGGGGTAATTTCTCACTTTCTGTCTCTCTGTCTCACTCTATCTGTCTGACAAGCTTACACGCCCTATAGCAAAAACTTCTCCAAAAAAAAAAGAAGAGTTCAAGGTGGATTGCTTTATCTTTATAAGCAGGAAAATTAAGGTGTAGACATGTGGAAAGACTTGCCCATATTGCATTTTGAACTAGGAATCACTCCATTCTCATACAAGGCCCAAGCACTTTCTTCCCATTTACTCTTAAGTCCACTGACACACAATGACACTGCATTTCAGCAGCCCGCTTCTTCTCTGTCTCCACCCAGAGTGAGCTGGGGAGAAGAAACTGACCACATCTGCATTGAAGGCCAAAAGACAAATCTGGCAACAGTCTTGTGCTCAAAGCAACATCTCTCAACAACAGCAATCACACTCAACAATGGCAGGTGTACAATCTCACAGAACAATGGGGTTCATAACCCTAGGGAGGCCTATTTCTGATGGTGATACAGTTTCCTACCCTTCCAGGACCTCATAGTATACTCAAAGGCTGAAACTAACATGGAAGGCTCCCAAATGACTTGCTCTTAAAGACATGTCTCAATCCACACCTTCCCCTTCCTGGGTGTCTGATCACTCTGCTTCCAGTACTGTGGACTGCAGCTTACTT